TGTGTGTGTGTGTGTGTGTGTGTGTGTGTGTGTGTGTGTGTGTGTGTGTGTGTATATTGTTTTACCCTTGCCTCACACCCACAGAAAATCACATCTAATCTAAATCTAATCTAATCTTAAACTATAAAAAATAATTATAAAATATTAAATTATTACTCTTTAAAAAGTAATAATGAAATTATTAAATGTTTTATTATTTTTATAATTTTTTTTATAAAATTATTTATTTGAAAACAACGGTAATTTTCTGTAAATCTAAGTCAGTTACGGTTGCTTCCGGGCGAGCGGATTCTCCTCAGCTTTCTCGCCTCCGCTCTATTGCTATGACTCTTCAGGATTATAGCGCGTTCTCAGTGTTTTGCTGGTCTGTGGGAGATTTCATGCACGAGGTAAGCTGTCCACAAAGCGCTCGTCCAAGCGGAAAAATGTGCTGTTGAAACTCGACTAAATTGTATGAAAAAAAACAACATAACTGTATATTTTCCGTATACTTGTGTCACTTAAAATTAAAGTCATTTTCTGATTTTATTGTTGTTTGCAACCTTACTTGGCAATATTTTAAAGATATTATTATTATTATTATTATTTTGTTTATTTCATTTAGTATTTTGTATGGTCTATTATTGGAGTAGTGTCACCCGGGTGGGAGTTTTAACTCCTATTCACTGGGAATAAAAATAAATGAATGAATGAATGAATGAATATACCTCCGGGACATGCTGTCTGTGATTCCTACAATTTTTTTTGTGCAGATATGTCAAATATCAAAATGGCAGACAGGCAGTTCGTTTAGGGCTTGGCCCCTAAATTTTTTTTTAAAACAGAACTCATTAGCGGGTGAGGATGCAATATCATGAAAAAGAAAAAAAAAAAATTATTGGTGATTATTGCTCTTGATATTGTTATAATGATCATTGTATTGCTGATTAGGCCTAATAGGTTTTTGTGGGAGAAAAGCATGTCATGTTCTAGCTACAGACAAAACAAAGTAAACACCTTTATGAATTTGTTTATTGCTTTTTACAGATTAGATAATCAAGACTTCACATTGGTTATTTCAGTAGCATGAAATACAAAACGTTTATTTGAACTGGGAATAGATTAGGCCTATATAAAGAAAGCCAGCAAAAAATGTCTCGAGTTACGCATGTAACCATGGTTCCCCGAGAGGGAATGAGACGCTGCGCCCCCTAGGGGGCACATTGGGCAATGCAGCCTGAATGACCGGTGTCTGAAGCACGTGTGAAACAACGCCAAACTATTGACCCACCTGGCCCATGACGTCATAAGCGGGATGCCCGGAAGTATAAAAGGGGCACCTGCTGAATACGCCATCCACTTTAGCTGTCTGAAGGACATGTAGACAGGCAGGCCGAAGGCACGGTAAGGGGGCACATTGGGGAATGAAATCCAATCACACCTTGCCGAGGCACATGCCTGTCCACCTGGTGTGTAACCCGAGACGTTCCCCTTCTAGGGAACTCAACGCTGCGCCCCCTATGGGGCACATTGGGGAATGAAATCCAATCACACCTTGCCGAGGCACATGCCTGTCCACCTGGTGGGAGAGTATCAAGGAAGCGACAGACATAAACAAAGCCTTTACTCAGAAAGGAGCCATGCCACTGATGCCACAGACCGCTCACGCAACTTGTCAGAAACGGGGGAACCCAAATAGATCAAGGGGAACATCCCATCCAAGTTAAGAGCACAGCTATCCTCAGATAGCTATGCTATGTGAGCAGAACTAGCCTGGATACACAAGAGCACTGAGGAGGCCAACTAGAAAGCCTCTAGAGGAGCTCAAAAGATGCTACTTAAATCCCAGGTAAAGAGAGTAACTGCTGAGCTAGAACACAGCTATCCTCAGATAGCTATGTCCCTAAGGTCTTATGAAAGCTTGTGGACCAGAATAACATAGCCAAGATAGCCTTCCTACGGAGATGCCCAGACCACAGAGAGTGGGCTATCTACTTACTACCCTACCAGGGGAGATAGCACTGTCTAGGCAAGGACTCAAAGAGACCTTAAAAAGGGGAGCAGACACTGAGCTAGTACACATATATCCTCAGATAGCTATGCACCTAGGAAGGGCTACCAGAAGGGGGATCGACTGAAACTTCCCAGACCACAAAGAGTTGGCTGTTTACTTGCAACCCTAGCAGGGGAGACAGCACTGTTTAGGTAAGGGCTCAAGGACACCGCTACTTAACTTACCTGGGCTTCTGTGAATAAGGCAGGCCATCTCTCCTGGAACTCTTTAATTGGTGGGCGGAGATTGACAACTTTATGTCGTCTGTATGAGAACGTTGTAGACATTTTGTCTGCAATAACTCTGTGATTGTCTTTCTTTTTGAATTCATCCAGCAAAGCGTGTCGCTCATTTTCTAAACTCTCAAGGGATTCCCCATTAAGGTGTGGAGGAACATAGTTCAGTTCAGCTTTTTTTTTTTTTACATTTTTGCTAGGAACTCTCTCATTTGGCTGCTTCCTTTTCAAGGAGTTAACCGCAAGCACTGGGTAGGCTAGCTCTCGGTTTCCTAACTTTGCACGATAGTTTCCCATTTTGTATTTCAGACATTGTTGCCAGGTGTGCATCCCTGAAAAGCATCCAGGTTCCTTCAGGCATAGATACTTTTCTATCAAGGCCTCTATGACTGACCTTATTTGGAGATTTGTGGGATATGCTGTGTATTTAAATACGGATTCAGCAAGCTTTTGCAGGATGTCAGATTTCACACTATGATTATGAAGGAGTGGAGAGAAATCATCTAAACCAACAACATGTATGTTAGACCCTATTCCATCTAAGCTCCTAAAAGAGGTGCTTCCAGAAGTCATAGATCCACTTCTGACTATTATTAATTTGTCATTGTCATTAGGATATGTCCCCAAAACCTTCAAACTGGCTGTTATTAAGCCTCTCATCAAAAAACCTCAACTTGACCCCAAAGAACTAGTTAATTACAGACCGATCTCAAATCTCCCTTTTCTGTCCAAGATACTAGAAAAGGTAGTATCCTCACAATTATATTCCTTCTTAGAGGAAAATGGTATCTGTGAGGATTTCCAGTCAGGATTTAGACCATATCATAGTACTGAGACTGCTCTCATCAGAGTTATAAATGACCTGCTCTTATCATCTGATCATGGTATCTCTCTATTAGTGCTACTGGATCTTAGCGCTGCGTTCGACACTATTGACCATGACATTCTTTTGAAAAGACTAGAACACTTTGTTGGCATTAATGGAAGTGCATTAGCATGGTTCAAATCAAACTTATCTGACTGCCATCAATTTGTTGCAGTGAATGAAGAGGTATCATATTGATCACAAGTGCAGTATGGAGTACCTCAAGGCTCCGTATAAGAACTAACGGAATGCATAGTCAATATAAAAAACTGGATGACAAGTAATTTCTTACTGCTAAATTCTGAAAAAACAGAGGTGTTCATTATAGGACCTAAAAACTCTGCATGTAATAACCTAGAAGACTGTCTAACAATTGATGGCTTCTCTGTCAATTCTTCGTCATCAGTTAGGAACCTAGGTGTGCTATTTGATAGCAATCTTTCCTTTGAAAGCCACAGTTTGCAGATCTTTGGTATTATGCAGCAGCTAGAGTTCTTACTAGAACCAGGAAGTATGACCATATTAGCCCAGTTCTGTCAACACTGCACTGGCTCCCTATTAAACATATTTTAGATTTTAAAATATTACTTATAAAGCCCTGAATGGGTTAGCACCTCAGTATTTGAATGAGCTCTTATTGCATATTGCATTTCCACGTCCGCTGCGTTCTCAATACTCTGGCAATTTGATAATACCTAGAATATCAGAATCAACTGCGGGCGGCAGATCTTTTTCCTGTTTAGCACCCAAACTCTGGAATAATCTACCTAACATTGTTCGGGAGGCAGACACACTCTGTCAGTTTAAATCTAGA